AGGTGGCAGCACCCATCCATCTTCTCTATTGAAATTTGGATGTTTTTTAATTTCAATAGCCTCGCGTATCATCCTTGGTAGGAATCGGTGTTCTTTTGCGAGAATTTGTGGTTTATCAAAACGAATGACGATCTTGAACATGTTCGCAGACTGCAGACTTCCCGGAGCGTCGGTGCTTCACGTCAGCTATATGTTCTTTCACGCGGGTTTTTATGGATCTTTTTGTTTGACCTATGTAAGAGAGACCACATTCACACGACCGGACCGGATACGGAACAGACCAGATCTAACGATTCTCCGCGCGGATAAAGGAAATGCTACGGTAATAATGGACACGTCAGAGTGTAATTTTAAAATACTACAGCTTTTATCGGACGAAAGTACATACAAAAAGGTCAAAACAGACCCCACAACTAACACGCTTAAAGCAACTAGCGATTTAATAAAGAAACACTCCGAAAAATTAAATCTCGACGTGAATTCACTAATACCATCATGTACCAAACCACCAAGGTTGTATGGGTTACCAAAGATACACAAACCAAACGCTCCACTACGTCCGATAGTGAGCCAGATCGATTCACCAACTTATAAGCTGGCACAACACTTGGCAAAAGTACTGTCACCACTGAGAGGACATACCAGAGCACACACAAAGGATTCATACCATTTTGTTAATGAGATAAAAGACCTACATCTCGCTGACAATGAAACTATGGTCAGTTTTGATGTTCAGTCACTATTCACATGCCTACCTATTGAAGACTGCATATCAATTGTAACTAGGAAGCTAGAATATACTAACATGCCTACTGAATATGCAGTATTACTCAAACACTGCCTCACATCTGGCTATCTATTGTGGAAGGAAGAGTTCTACAAGCAAGTAGATGGTGTGGCGATGGGCTCACCTGTATCTCCCATAGTCGCTGACATATTCATGGAGGACTTCGAGGAGAAAGCCCTTCTTACTGCTCCTGTAAATCCAAGATTCTACAAGCGGTACGTAGACGACACTTTCACAATTTTACCATCTGACAAAGTAACTGCATTTTTAAACCACCTTAACTCTATAAACTCTAAAATACAATTCACAATGGAGTTAGAGGCAAATAATTCTTTAGCTTTCTTAGATGTTTTAGTCATTCGAAATCCTAATAACACAATTGGTCACACTGTGTATAGAAAAAAGACCCATACCAACCGATATTTAAATGGTGAATCTCACCATCATCCTTCACAGTTAGCTACCGTAGGTAAATCTTTGTTTCAGAGAGCATGAGGGATCTGTGACAGAAAAAATCTGGCCGCCGAACTTCAGCACGTCAAGCAAGTATTGCAAGACAACAAGCTTCGGGTCCCGCGCCTACGTCACAGTGACCGAGTGAATCCGGCCACAGTCGAGCGTGTACCTGCTGTACTACCATATGTCAGAGGAGTCACAGACAAGGTTGGCTACATCTTGAAGCGAGCTTCTATTAAAACATACTACAAGCCGCCGAAGAAGATTAGTCAATTTTTACCATCCGTCAAGTGTAATATCCCTCTACAAGATGCAGGAGTGTACAAGTTAGATTGTGAATGTGGTCTCTCTTACATAGGTCAAACAAAAAGATCCATAAAAACCCGCGTGAAAGAACATATAGCTGACGTGAAGCACTGACGCTCCGGGAAGTCTGCAGTCTGCGAACATGTTCAAGATCGTCCCCACCATTACATTCGTTTTGATAAACCACAAATTCTCGCAAAAGAACACCGATTCCTACCAAGGATGATACGCAAGGCTATTGAAATTAAAAAACATCCAAATTTCAATAGAGAAGATGGATGGGTGCTGCCACCTGCTTGGGATCCTATAATTAACAAAATTAAACCCAAACCTAAGCATACCACTGCAAGACTTCATGATACTATAAGCTCATTTTGCGTAAATCGGACCAAAAATTAATATTCAAAAACTGAAGGTAGCCGGACTAACTATGACATTGGGACGTCAAACATCTCAGTCCCCCCCCGTGACCATGGTTGCTGTAAAGCACCCGAAACGTCGGGAATTAAAAATAAGTAAAAGTAGTGAAATAAATGCGATAAAATCCGTAAATTTAGTTTTATTCAAAGGTTTAAACTGTTTGTGTAAGGATTACAAAAACACAGGCTTAATTTAAATGTATTTATTACCAGCGATGCGCCTCAGCTGCAGCACTGGTGGTTTGTGGATCTCGACAACAGTGACATCTACCCGGTTCAAATATAAATATAAACCATCTAGGGATCCATCCAAACACACACAAACATTTTCAATGAAATTGGTTGGATGGTTTCTTACGTTTTATCTATAACGGACATAGGAAGAAACATTTTAGTGTTAGATATATTTCTAAAGGTTTTTTGAAAATAACTTGATGGTAACATGTACATTTATGATAGGTATTGTAAGCAATCAGAAGGCATTTTCAATTATAAGAGATATGATATAATCACACACACACAGATACACTTTTTGTCTCCGGAAGCTTTCAGCCTGCAAGGCATACAGATTTGTTCTAAGCGATCCACCTGAAAAGAAGTTAATGAAAATTGTAAAGGTGTCTTAACTAAATAATAAAACTTATCAACTATATAGGAATTAAAAGGACATTTAATAAGAGATATGAGATAAGAATATGCCTTCAATGTCAATAAACTGTATTTACATATTTCTGTGACCATTTTCTTACATCCGCCTTCTCATATGTTAAATAATAAAGAAATTATTATAAATTATACAGCATTAATCAGCTCCAGCTGATCAAATACAGAAGCAGTAATTATTGATTAACATCAATGATATTCAACAATGTAAAAGTTGTCTCACATTTTATTTTCACTGGTTTCATGTATATAGGAGATATATAAAATATTAAGTATATCTGATTCTAGATGACAAAATAATATTCCTTTCTGCAGAGTGAACAACACAGCTATCTAAGCATAATAGATACAACCATTACACTTTTTTATGCAAACCATTATTATTAAACTTTATATTTGCTTCTAGTACAAATAATTACTACATTTTTACACATAAATATATGTACCATTTATATTGCCTATCTACTATGGCTGGTATAAATCCAGGATCCGTGTCTGCCTTAACAAAAAAGCCATTTATTAAAAAACTTGCTGAATACATAAGGTACCTATTTGTACACAAATGCAGTTATATGAATTGCTCTTCAAAACCCTCTTTAAGTCCCTCGACCCAAAGATTCTAATTAACATTATTATAATTCCTTTTGTGCATTTATTCTATTTATTATTTAATTTAGAATTTACTAAAAGCATAAACTTAATACTTTTTCACTTTTAACAAACTAATAAGGTTCTAAGACCTGTTTGTTATTTGTATTTGTTTTAGGTAAAATCTACAAACTTAATAATAGATTTTCACAACCTAGAATAGGTGTAAATTAATAAACTATCATATTAATTAACCTAAACTCGTCAGTTTTATTTGCGAATTTTACCACAAAAAATAAAAAGAGAAAAACATACGTACTTGTGTCAATTAATATTTGGCTAACCTTACTGATAATTGATAATATCCATATTTTCTTATAGTGGCACTTCACATGGCTATTTGGTATTTGTGATAGCATGTTGCCGTATTTGGCAAAAAAATTGACGTAAGGGCAAATAAACGATATAACCGTCCACACATGGAGCCAAATACCAAAAAATGAAACATGTTTGCCAGCGTAAAGTAGTTGTACCTATAAAATGGACGTTGCACTTTCAGCTGGATTTTATTATTTGAACGCATGTTACTATTACATGTTATGCGTAAAAAAATACAAAGTGATAAAAAAAAGACCAAGAGCAAGGCGATGGTGGATGCTGACTGTGCATAAAAATCGAACCAAGTAAGTAATTTGTTTATTTCATTTGTAGAATGACTTTTGCATGACACGCAAATCATATTAACGAAAATTCCAATAAAATAAGAACCTAAATCTAATTAGTATATACAGAATAGAATAGAATAATTTTTTATTCAATATAGATCACATGTGTAATTCTTATTGAAAGTATTTTTTTTACTTTACCACTGGTTGGAAAAAAAAACCCTCTGTCCTGAGAAGAACTAGCAAGAAATCCAGCAGGATTTTTTTAAAATAAATTTTACAATATAAATGGTTACAAACTATTTACAATTTATTTTAGAAACAGATTGCAAGCGACTACCTCGTTCCCAGGGTTTATTATCAACCATGTATTCATTTATATTAGCCCTTTTTATAGAGTTTTTCATTAATTAAATATTTAAACTTGGTAATAGCTATGGAGTGTAGAGTAGACACTCCATAGTAATAGCGTATACATTGCCCCAAGAACGGGTTACTGACTTTATGGACTCGAGATATAGGTCACTAGCTTGTGTTTGTTCCTAGTGTTTACAGAGTGTATATCACTTTTTACTAAAACTGTCTATGTTCTTGTGAACATACATAAAATTTTGGTAAATATACTGAGAGGCCAAAGTTAATATATTAATTTCTTTAAATTTATCTCTAAGAGACTCCTCGGTTTTAGGTTGTAAATACACAATAAAAGTTATTTATATTTCCAGGGAATCTATGGAGACAAGGTTTCAAGAAATGTTAGCAGAACCCTCTAACGAGTTTGATAATTTCTGCCGAATGTCTTATGCAGATTTTAATTTTTTTGTTACAAAAAGTCCATCCCATAATTTCTAAAAAGGATACAAAATGGAGAGAAGCTATACCTGCAAAAGTTAGATTAGCGATTACTTTACGATTCCTTGCATCAGGAGACAGTTATAGAAGCCTTCACTATACCTTCAAGATATCAAGTCAAATAATCTCAAGAATTATAATGGAAGTGTGTGCTGCTTTATATCAGGTTCTAAAGGATCAAATCAAGGTAAACAACATATATAATTTTCATTAACTTTTATTAATCGTAATCAAATTATTTTTAAGTAGGTATTAAATATGCTATTAATTATTTTTCCCTCGAGGTATTTGCGATGGTGATGGTGTATACGACACCATTCTAGAAGTAGGATTCGGTAGATTCAAAGGAGTATCATTAGAGTATTCTGAGTATTCAACATGATATGCAGGAGAAGGAGCATCCATTTGCGGTGAAGATGACGTATACAAAACCTTTGTAGAATTTGGATAACTGTTAACACAATTAAGATATTCCACTTCTGTCGGAAATGCAACCTGTGGAGGAGATGCGATATTGCTTTGCGGTGGTGATGGTGTATACGATAACATTGTTGCATCAGAATTAGGTTGACTGGTAGCAGAATTCAGAGATGCCACATCTGTCGGATATGCAACCTTTGGCGAACTTGCAACCGCTGACGGAGATGCGATATTGATTTGGGGTGGTGATGGTGTGTATGATAGCATTGTTGCAGCAGAATTTGGGCGACTGGAAGAATAATTAGGCAAATTGAAGTTGTAGACGTGTTCATCGACAAATAGCTCATGTATTTTTGCCATCATGATGTCTCGGCGTTGTTCAGAAAGTTTTCGTAGCTTTCTAGCCACAAGTACCCCAAAGGTAGAGCATTCATCATCTTCATCCTTTAGCTGCAGCTGGGAATGTTGCTTCATAAAACTATATGCTTCATCCATTCGTTTTTTCGCTTCTATAAGTTCAGGTGGATTATTTTGTCTTCTTCTATGCAATATTGGTCTTGCTGTTGAACCCTGTTGTTCATTTGAATTTAATTCCTGTTGTTCTTGGCTTCTAATATTTTGATCTATAGGGCCCTGTTCTGTGTTTTGATCTTCATTAATCGTAAGTTCTTCATCCTGCAAGTATAAATAACATTAATATTTTTGTTACAGTTGCCCGTGGTAGAACAAGACTGGTTGGACATAGAAGGTGGCTTCCATCAACGTTTCCCGCACTGCATAGGTGCGATAGATGGAAAACATGTAGTGATACAGTCTCCAGTTAACAGTGGCTCAGAATATTACAACTACAAAAAATCTTTTAGCATCGTTTTATTAGCTTTGGTTGATAGTAATTACTGCTTTATGTATGCCGACGTGGGATGTCAAGGGAGGATAAGTGATGGAGGCGTTTTGAAAAACTCCGTTCTGTGGAATAAAATAAACAATAATACGTTGGGGCTACCAGCACCAATTCCACTACAAAATGGAAATGGTGACTTGCCATATGTATTCTTAGGTGATGGAGCATTTGCCTTACATAACAATATCATGAAACCATATCCAGGGAATCATCGAGAAGGCACCAAAGAAAGAATTTTCAACAAGAAGCTTTCATCAGCCCGTGTTATCGTTGAAAATGTATTTGGTGTTATGTCTGCTATATTTAGAGTGCTACGTTCGCCTATGCTACTTGAACCTGAATCAGCTAGCCAAGTAGTCATGGCGTGTGTAGTTCTACACAACTTTTTGAGAAGAAGTAGACTGTCTAGAAATGTATATAATCCACCTGGTACATTCGACCTGAATGATGGAGACGACTTAATAATACCAGGGTCATGGAGGGCCGATATTCCCAACAACCCAGCACTGCGTGATATTCGTAACATTCCTAGAAGATCTCCAAGGAATCCAGTCGAAATCAGAAACGACTTTGCTAATTACTTTTATAATACATGAAACTGATTGATCTGTAAACTTACCTATCTGTTTATTATTTGAAAATAAAATAAAATTATTATTATAAAATTTATAGGTAGTTATATTTTTTTTTATAGATAATAATAATAATAATGTCCTCCAGACCGAATTTCGGCCACGGCGGCCAGCCTCAACGGAGACTAGCCATCTGCGCAGGACAGGATTATAGTGCCCAAGTGTATGCGCAAGCACAGGAGCACTCTCTATTCCCTCACTCTCATAGCCCGATGGGACGGTAAACCGACACGACCGGAGAGAGATCGGGCGTAGGACCAACGACTTTACGTGCTTTCCGAGGCACGGGGGTGAAACACCGCCCACTTCCTAACACCACGCTCGTAATGAGAATTTCTTGATGGAAAAACTCAATAACTGATTGTTTTTTGGCTCGACCTGTGATTCGAACCCGGGACCTCATGATCAGCAGTCGCACTACTACAACCACTAGACAAACTACTTTGGAAATGATTACAGTAATACATACAGTGGTATTTTACTTTGTGTTTTTATCATCATACAACCAGTTTAAAATATCTTTCTTACTAGCTTAGCTAGCTTAGCATGTAAAGGTAATATTATAAATGGACATATTATCCCTTATTCATCTTGGCTTTAATCATATTTATTTAATTAGTGTAGTGGTGTTTGTGATGTATATTCACTAATTAATTAACTATGTAAAAATAGTCTCCACACCATGTTTGTTTGTCTGCTGTGCACCATTTTTTGCCAGACCTACTAAAAAGATTTTCCATCAATCTTAAAGTACCTATAAACGCTGAATGAACCTACAACTTTGTTTTATACTAATTTTAAGCTATTCTATTCTATAATATGTACTATTCTAACTCATAATATCGGTGAATACTACTAGAAAATAGTTTTTAGTTTGTTTATAGGTTATTGTGATATTCATATTTTTATTTTTAATTTTTCAGTATTCCCGTTAGATGCGGTAAAACTAATATTAATTTTGTAATTTATAGATGATAAGGAATAAATTGACATGCATTTCATTAATTGTAGCTAAAATTTGTGGTGGGCCCATTCTATATACAAAAAGAAATTGTCTTCTATAAATGTATTATTACTTACCACAGTGTTTATGGTACTGTTGCAGGTATAAACAGAATTCAAAAAACTATCCATGAATGCAAATGCAAACCAACTTGGTTGATACACATCGGATGCACCTGATCCGGATCGTTCGCTTTTCTTTATTTTGGTTTTGTAACCTCGGTACGCAGACATAAGCGACTCCTTCTTTTTTTTAAATCTTGCAGGGTACATGGTACACCCAAATTGTCTTTAATTGTATTCCACGCGTCGTTTACTCTTTGCCGGTTTTTATGCCCCTCGTTTCCAGGGTCCCAAATGCATGGGTTCATTTGGTAAAGTTCTAAAAACCTTACAACGGTTTCTTTGTCCCAATTCATTTTCCGTATGTATCTAAATAATTACTTATTAAGGTTATAAACAGGTCCGTCCGTACTGGTTGACAGTTCGCGCGCTTATGAGCCCGACCATGTGTGGCCAGTATATTTGCGTATTTGCCTATTTGTCTCCTTTGATGTGCCTTAAAAAACCGACAGACGATCGGTAAGCCGTATTTGTTATTGGCTATATTTGCCAAATAGGCAAATACGGCAATAATTATGGCAAATATACTCTCCACACATGGAAGTTATTTGTCGAATACCCCAAATACGCAAATACAAATAGCCATGTGAAGTGCCACCATTAAACATTAGTCAAATAATGCTTTCTAAATAAAAACCTCATTTTGTTCTAACCATAATGATGCGACTCCAACCATGTTGTATTTCACTCGAGTGAATCGACTCAATTTGTCCAACTCGATAATCGATAGAAAATAAATTTTACCGAGTTACCGAGTTAACTCGGCGCATCGTATAGATTCAGAGGGTGCTATATACTCGTAGATATTACCTACTTCACTAATTTACTTGTATATATAATAAGTCGCTGCGGGTGACATCACAAGTTGCATCTAAATTCAAACTTGCATCTGGCATGTTGTAAACAAACCTAAACTTAGTTTGATTTATGATATTGATTTATAATTTACACATATTACTTATTTACAAAGGTAGATATTTAAAAATGGTTTAACTAAAGTAATCGCTACTCTCAACTCTAGTGATAAACTTTTCTGTAAATAGTAGATTTACTCAAAAACTAGTTTACAACTAGAATGACATACATACATAAATTAACCCGAGTAGCTCGAGTCACAAAATTCTACTCGAATCGCATCTTACGGCCAATGCAGAGTTTGTCTACAATTTAGTGATGAAATGTACTTACTAATTTGAGCAATTTATTGATATATTATGTAATAAATAAATTGATATTAGGTAATATGTTTATAATGTTGTATCAATTTATGTTATATATAATATAAATTGATTATATATATATATATATATATATATATATATATATATATATATATATATATATATATATATATATATACTTTGGATAGTCAAATTATTATTAACATTAAGACTTACGTCATAACGTTAAAGTGATATTATTTTATGAAGATTGTCGATACGCATACCAAAAATAATATATAACTACCTATTAAGTGTAGTAATATTAATTGTGTTGTATGTAAGAACAATTATAAAAATAATTTGTGACAAATTGACACAGCTTCGTTCAGCTAATTTGAATTGCGTAACTCGAGCTCAAAATGGAGTTACCTGAATTTCAACTCGAGACGATTTTTTTGGGAGTTATCACGGCACATCTCTAAGATAATAATTTTTTAAATATTACGTTACCTTAGCCAATAATCAGAACACGAATATCAAAACAACTAATATTTTTTTTTCAGATTTCTTGATACCGTTTACATTTTCGAAAAATCTATAGGCCATTTACTACTATAATTTGGTGTCTTTTTTCGTGTAAATACCATTAAACGACGTTAACATTTCTAGTGGGCCCAAAAATGATTATCTCCTTTGCCAATCTAAAAGTAGATAATGATAAAGATGCAAAATGGAAACAAAGGGGCAGTGTAAAAAGTGGGTCTACACAAACTCCGTCAAAAAATTTGAGATCCTACAACAACAGAATAACGTATATAATGGTAAATACAAAAAGACATAAACTGAGTTTAGACTTGTTGTCAGAAGGGATCAAGAAGAAAAGGTAATAAACATGCTGCAAAACACGGAAACTCTCATTACTGTTAATCTTCCAAAAATTCTATCAAAAGGTCAGGATCGTGCAAGAGGTTAAAGGCCGCCGGTTAAAGATGAAGAAGGAAATCTTGTTTCGGATCCAAAAAAAAACAATTATGATTATGTTAATATTAATTGACATTTTAATTAATACTGACGCTGTAGAAACGATACTTAAATACTTCCTAGTTGCGCCTTTGCAACAGGTGAACAAATAAATTTAGACGCTTAGACGTTTACTTTCAAGGAGCTTAAATAAAACCACCTAGCTTTGAAGAAGCCCTAATAGCAGTAATTAAGTTAAAGAACTACAGAGGCCCTGGCATCGACAGCATACCTGTAAGAAATCTCAAAGTATAAATGAAGGGCAGGGAATTCTGGTCTATATCAGATATCATCATCATCATCATCATCATTACAGCCCTTCACAAGTCCACACCTTTCCAAAGGAATGCCACAAAGCACGGTCCTGAGCCATATGCATTCATCTACTTCCTGCATTTCTTATCCGGTTGTTACTTCATCTAGTGGAGGGTCACTCTACACTTTACCCACCGGTAAGGGGCTGTCACTCGAGAACCTTTTTCCCCCATCGGTTTCCGTTTCTCCGAACTATATGTCCGGCCCATTGCCCATTAGAAAATATATGGGAAAAAGTAAAATAGCCAAGCGAAATAATGTGGACGTGGGAAATATATAAAAGGCTGGCAACGTCCCTGCAATTAACCCTGGTGTTGCAGTTGTTCATGGGCGGCGTTAGTCACTTAACATCAGGTGACACGTGTGCTCTTTTTTCCCTTTTAATATAAAAAAGTTGGCAGTCACTGGGGACTGCCAAGAGAAGATAAAACTTGACAATATTTAATAACAGTTATTTTTTCGATTTTCAAATTAATCGTCACATCAAAAACTGAAACTTCTTACATTGTTAATAATCGTTAACATTGGTCTGGTCCCGATATTTATTGGTACCTACTCTGAACAACAATGTTAGACGTGTTTAAATGTTTTGTTTATTAAAACATGTGATAAACTGCGCAGGACTAGTACAAAATATAAATACATAATGATTTCTTACGCTTACGTGTACAATAAAATTAAAAAAAAAATGACGTGTAGTATTCGAAATTAACAATAATTTATTAAATTTTCAGGCATGTTTACAAACCCAGCTGTAATTCACTTTCGACTACAATTCACGAGCTTCTACCACCTACGTTGGTGCTGTAAGAGACGACAAGAGAAATGAGACACGCTCGATAGCAGCATCTTCCTGTGTACCTAGTGCGAGTTTTTCTACGCGTTCGAAAGCGATAAAGTTAACTACGATTTGTATGGAATAAAAAAGCGCCAACTAGTGACAATAATTTGAAACAAAATTCCTGAGTGCGAGTTTACTAAGTAGTCGATATCGACCAACGAACATTGACTCACCTTCGACAGTGAGAACAATAACGCTCGTGATTGGTTGTTAGAAGTATTTTGCGAGTGCGAGCGACAATTTTGATTGTTCGAGACGTAACTTATGTAAACTTAACGCCGTCGCTATCGAAAAATTTACATATAGATTTTTACAGAGAATGTAAAAATGAAATGGAAGAGTGGGAATAATTGTTGAAGAGTTAATTTTATTTCGTTTTATGTAAACGATGTATAATTATGGCAGGATGTTTTTTTTCGCTTGGAGTACGTTTGCAGCCGCTAAGGCATAAATAAGTAATAATAATTAGATGACTGCTATTATAATGTCGCCTCTACACGTTGGCCAACACAGTGGTGAATGTAGTGGCCAATAGCATTGGCCAACGTGTAGACGGGGTGTTTGGGCTTCATTGGTATGTATTGGGACGATGGCCCACAAGTTGGCGCGAGATCCGTGTGGTGTCGGTTTTTTACAAAAGATCAAAGGATTGTTGGCAGAGTTTGGTCGCCGCGTCCACACGTTGGCCGCGAGTTTAGTTTGCTACAAGCTCCCAGAGTGATTACACGCGTCTGATTTAAATTTTATATTCAAGCTTTGTAGGATGGATGCCCCAATTACCAGCCTTTTAGTGCCAATTTCAACTTTAAACATTCCTACTACTTTAATTAGTGCGATTTAATTATTTTTAAACATTTGTTTTAATCGATTAACTATTTATCAAAAAAATAACGAACATTTATTTACAATCAGATTATTACAAGAACAATATTAAAATGAAAAAAAATATGAAGCACGTCGTTTATACGTGGTAGAACCATGCAGTTATATTAGAAGTATATATAGTTGTAGCACGAATGGGTTGGCTCAACCAGGGAAGGACCACGCTCTCACAGAATATCAGCGTAAAATAGTAGCTTAATGATGCTGTGTTTCGTATAGTGAGTGTAGAGAACCAGAGACCCTTTTTAAAGGAAACGAGGCATTTCATCTTTGTCCTCACGGGTGAGAACGCATATGAATTTTGATTCGTAATCGAGGATAGATGTAGATGTCTGTGGGCCACAGCAACCACTTACCATCAGGTGAACTGTGTGCTCGTTTGTCACCCTATCCTATAAAAAACGTCGACTTCTTATAATTCAATCGTGCAACAGCATTACAGCTGTTCACAAGTTCACTACTGAACATCCTCCTCCACAGACTGCCGCAAAGCATGGTCCTGAGCCACTTTGCTCGTCATGAGTTTTTCATTTATGTTCTAAGTTATAATTAGTACCTATTATCAAGTCAGTTTTAATTATATTTATTGCTATTGTTTTTGTCTTTCTCAAAAAATAATTAAATTACCAAATAAATTATAAGGTGTTTTTATATACATCAAATGTCTGATAGAAATGCAAGTACATATTTTGCTAAACTTTAAAATCAAAACCCAATTTTAAAACATAGACTAATCGATTATAACTCCTTTAACTTTAAAATAAGTTAAGTTTTTATTAATTATATTTATTCCAGTTTATGATGCATGCATAAAGAATAAATAAACCTAATCGTATATCGTATTTCTATTTACAGCCCCATTAATATCCACTATTCTTTTATAATTATTTTATAAAAACGTAACCCCCCCACACTTGGGTTTTCTCATGTATCGCGGAGGCAGCTTACAAACATAAATTGCACAAGAACACACATCCAGACCCGAAACAATTATTTGTAGGATATACAAATACTTGTTCCGTGAGGGATTCAAACCCGCGGCCCCCCGGCACAGCTACTCATTGCTAAGCCACTG